TTGGCTGTTGAGAAATGCTGAAGTTTATTTAGTGAACATTTTACATTTCGAAAAAGAAAAAGAAAATGTAAGACAGTGGCACTAGGGTCGTTCAGGAACTATACCTGCAGCTACTTAAATACGTGATGCCTGGAATGAGTTACTGCCATTAAGTCTCCATGACAATTGCAGAATACAAATACACTATATTGCCAAAGGTATTGGGACACCCCTCCAAATAATTGGATTCAGGTGTTCCAATCACCTCCATGACCACACAGGTGTATAAAATCAAGTACCTAGGCATGCAGACGCTTCTACAAACATTTGTGAAAGAATGGGTCGCTCTCAGGAGCTCAAGTCTGGTACCGTGATAGGTACCTGTGCAATATGTTTATCCGTGAAATTTCCTTGCTACTAAATATTCCGCGGTCACCTGTTAGCGGTATTATAACAAAGTGGAAGCAACTGGGAACAACAGCAACTCAGCCACGAAGTGGTAGGCCACATGAAATGATAGAGCGGGGTCAGCGCATGCTGAAGCGCATAGTGCGCAGAAGTCGCCAACTGTCTGCAGTCAATAGCTACAGACCTCCAAACTTCGAGTGGACTTCAGATTGGCACAACAACAGTGCATAGAGAGCTTTGTGGAATTGTTTTCCATGGCCGAGCAGCTGCATCCAAGCCTTACATCACCGAGTGCAATGGCAAGCGTCAGATGCAGTGGTGCAAAGCACGCCACTACTGGACTCTAGAGAAGTGGAGGCGTGTTCTCTGAAGTGACGAATCACGATTCTCTGTCTGGCAATCCGATGGACGTGTCTGGGTTTGGGTGTTGCCAGGAGAACGGTACTTGCCTGACTGCATTGTGCCAAGTGTAAAGTTTGGTGGATGGGGAATTATGATGTGGGGTTGTTTTTCAGGGTTGGGCTTGGCCCCTTAGTTCCAGTGAAGGGAACTCTTAAGGCATCAGCATACCAAGACATTTTGGACAGTTTCATGCTCCCAACTTTGTGGGAACAGTTTGGGGATGGCCCCTCCCTGTTCCAACATGGCTGCGCACCACGGCACAAAGCAAGGTCCATAAAAACATGGATGAGCGAGTTTGGGGTGGCAGAACTTGACTGGCCTGCACAGAGTCCTGACATCAACCCGATAGAACACCTTTGGGATGAATTAGAGTGGAGACTGTGAGCCAGGCCTTCTCGTCCAACATCAGTACCTGATCTCACAAATGCGGTTCTGGAAGAATGGTCAAACATTCCCATAGACACACTCCTAAACCTTGTGGACATCCTTCACAGAAGAGTTGAAGCTGTTACAGGTGCAAAGGGTGGGCCAACTTAATATTGAAACCTACGGACTAAGACTAGGATACCATTAAAGTTCATGTGCGTGCAAAGGCAGATGTCCCAATACTTTTGGCAATATAGTGTATGTATGTTTTCTTGCAAGTGGTAAAAGGTAATATTTATGTAACTCTTTCTTTGCCCTTCAATCAATCTTAAAGTACAAATAATGTTGGATAAAAGTGATCATAATAATAATATGTATCAGTATCATACTCTAAGTAGGTAAGATAATTACTAATATATCAGCATATTTATTAAATGTATGTAAAAGTTCCCCTCATTGTATATCTAGATTTAGTATATGACTCTGTCTTGATATTAGTCTAGTGGAGGAAATGATGATTCTAATCATGGAGGAAATGATGGACCGCACTTGGAGCCAGTTATTGCTTTGTATATGCATATAGGAGGACAGAAGAATGACTGTATCTGCATGCTACTGCACCTTTCATGTCCAGTCATGGGTGGTGTACGTCCTGGACAAGCTAATGTTGCTTAAGTGTAGCCCAGTCAAGTTTTGTGTCTATGTGGATGGCTTAATTCACTGACCAACTTCTTATGCCTCTAAGGAACTTCTAGCAGGGACTGTTTTAATATGGTGCCAAAAGGGCATTTGCCCCTGGGAGTCAACAGGAATGGACATACGCACGTATACTTGAAAGAATACCAGGAATGATGCTTGAAGTAGTGGAACTTGAGTGGTGGGAGCTCACATATTTGACACTCTGAGTCTAGGAGGCAAGGAATAAAGTTTACTTCAGCCCCAGCTGCCCAATGCAGTGCCAACACAATTTGCAATTTGCCTTCTTGTGATCCCCTCCTGCTAGTCTCTCACCTCTAATGTGTTAGAAGTGAGCAACTAGCAAGCAGGGGATCACAAGCATGGAGCTGACTGGATTTCACAACTAAAGAAGCTTTGGGTGAAGAATGGCAGTGTGCAGCTGTCTGTATTGATTGCATTTGCTGTGGAGTATGGAGGGCTCTCTGGCCAGCACATGCAACCAACCCGAGCGGTGGAACTGTGATGTGAAAGGAGCAGTGGAGGTCTCTCTTTGCATTTTCCATATTTAGCTGTTTATGGCCAGATTGAATGATAATCTCATGTGACTAAACACCTGACTAAAGCTGGTCATAGACCTATAGATTTCCGATTGGACATTTTCATTGCTACCAAGAACCCTCTTTCGATTCTAGCTCAAATACCCCATCATGCACAGAGCAATGTCGATTTCAAAAATCGTTAGTTAGCAATACTAACTCACCGAATTTTGTCGATCGACAGAAGGAATTTTCGTTTGCGCATGTGCAGTGTGCTAATTTTTTCGTACAAAAATGCCGCTAATCCAGCGATTTTCGTTTGATTCAACAAAAAGTTTTCCAGCCTCACCCTTCGAGAAAATTTGAGCGGGATTATAGTAAAAAAAAATTGTTGGTGTCCCATCAACTGTTCAATTCTGTTCTAAAGACCATTCGTGGAACATTTCCGATAGAGAATCGTTTTGGGCACCCTGAGATAGCTGGCTGTTAGCTGACGTGTCTTTTCCAGTAAAGGTGTTTAGTTGATTACCATGGAGGTGATTAACTGAAGGAATTATTTTTCACTTAGCTCAGTGAGCCGTTCTAACATCTAATCATGCAAAATACAATTTAAAAAAAATAATTATAACCAGAGGGGGAGACGAGAGGACGCCAGAGCCGGACGAGTAGATTCCCAGCCGCCCGTTGTAATTAAACGGTTGGCCAGGAGCTTTCCGTCTTTTATATTTTACCAAAAATATGGGTAAGAATAAAGGTTTTATAACATAATGTAGGGAAAATATATGTTTTTTTGTTCCGAAATTCACGGTACTTTTTTCATTATATAGTAAAAAATAGCCCCCCTCCCTAGTGGTGATTATATACCACCAAAAAAAAAGCTCTGTGTGTCCCACAAAAAATGTTAACATAAATTGCAAGGCTATAGTCCGGTCATGCTGACTGGTGACATTTTTGACTGACTGGTTTATCAAACAAAAAGAAACACACCTTTATTTTCTTACAAAATGACATTTTATTCGTTTTGAAAATACAAACAAACTTTGGTAGACCTTTTTTTTTTTTTGCAAAATGTATACATTTAAATAAATGTTTTTATTCAATAGAGAATTACAATAGAGCATATAAAACACATTACAATGTAACATAGCAAAAGGGTACCAAAATGATCATCTGAGCACTTTTTGATAAATATCCAGTTTATCATGAAAAAACAAAAACAAAGCATTAATCAAATTCTGTTTCAACAATGTAGCAAATGTGAAATCTGCGGATTACAGTTTTTCATGGAATGCACAGAAGTACAAGACAATGCTTTTTGTTCTGGGAAGGACTTTTGAGGATATGACCCCTGAATATAAAAAAGGGTAAGTTGGTGTTTTTATCTTATACTGTCCATGCATGTAATTAAATGACTGTTCAATAAAACAATCAGAAACCAACTGTACTGAATAACCAATAAAAAATATGTTTTTTTTTTCTCCTAAGAGTAATAATCTGAACTGACAGGAAAATCCTTCTGAAATAAACCTTATGAAGTTGATTTACTAAAGTCAAATATGCTGTTTACTTTGCCTGGCTGCTTTCACTTTGCAGGGGACTTTCCCATACTATACTGAATATGGTGACAATTCACTTTGCAAAGAATACCCCATCATATGCAAGGTAAATAAAAAAAATAGTCTTTTTACTTGCACATGACTGGATGAAGGAAGTCAGCAGAGTTTCATCTCCTATACTAAACTAAGGGAAAATGCCTTTGCAACACGAACAGCCTATTTGCCTAAAGTAATTCAACCCCAAGTATCCCAAGTATCCTTTAGAGCAAAAGGTCACTTGAAATGATGGATTCTATGATTGATTGTTGATCTGTCAATATGTTTATTGGCCAGTATAATAATAATAAAAAAAACAATAGGTCGACATCATTTAACAGTATCAGAATAATGGAAGACTAGTCACAGCTTAACTTACTCAAAGTCATTCTGCTTCTGAATGTTGATGTTTAGTGCCCCTACAGAACTCATGTTTGACAACTATAAGAGATGATAACATAACTTTGCCATTCAGATCTACATAAATCTAAGCAATACTTATAACAAATGTAACCCAGACATGTTCTACTTTAGTTTACATAGGAATCTTACATCACACAAGTGCCCACATTTGCTTTAGTTTGTTGGTAAACGAATTCATTCATACAGCTAAATAATATCTTTACACAATACTTCTCAGCCCAGTCATATGACAAGCAAAGACTTGTGGATTTCTCTGAGCTAAGTTCCAGCTTACTGAGAGGCACTAGGATTGTTCTGCATTGACATCCAATCTACCTTATTGCCATGTCCTCCATGGCACGGTCTGCTCTGGCAGAGATGATAATTAGACAATAGGCACCATTGTGAGTCCAATAAGCAGAGTGCTGGTGCTGTGTGAGGACCATACCGGTGATCAGATCTTCAGGGTGGAAGGCTTTCTGGAAATATACAGTTTCTGGATATATATACACAGGATTTCATGAAAAGTCCAGTTGTAAGGAAAATAATGTGCAGTTCCATGTGGGATAAATACATAAGGACCCTGTGGACATCCACTGGGACAGCTGGAGCAGAGTCACTCATCCAAGAAGAGAAGGGTCTCTGGAGGCTGCCAATGTGCACTCAATCAGAAGGGGTGCATGGCTGAGGACTGTCACAGTGCCAGGGTGACATGCCTGTGTCCTTATACATAGTTCTTCTTGTCATATTCCCCGTTGGATGTCGGTCTCCTAGAGGCAGAGTACCTGACCGGTGGGGTGAACTGGCCTTTCATTGGGCAGGAGAAGCAGAGAAGAACGCCCCCGAGGAGAAGCAGCGCAGTAGCCGCCCAGCCCACGTACAGGGCAGCCCCCATCTCCCTCTTCTTAGAGGAAGGGACATGGGGATCGTAGAACTCCCGGATCACGATGTTGGCGGTCCAACACAGGGGGATAAGGACCAGAAGCCCGGTCAAGATGTAGATGATTCCTCCAGCAAACAAAACGCGGCTTTTCACCTTGGTGCCCTGGTAGCAGATAGTGCACTGAGCTCCAACGACTGTCACCATAAGTCCGATCAAACCCACGATGGATGCCATAACGGTGAGAGCCCTGCCAGCCTGGAGCTCCGGGGGCAGCGCAAGGATGGAGTCATACACCTTGCATTGCATCTGCCCCGTACTCTGCACTGCACACGACATCCATAGACCTTCCCAGATGAACTGAGCCACCACGATGTTCTGTTCTATGAAGGCGGACACCTGCCACATCGGGAGGGCACATGCCAGGATCACCCCGACCCAGCCGATGGTGCTCATGGACATCCCGAATATCTCCAGAGCGATGGAGCCCATCTCTGCACTGGGATGTGCGGATGCTGATACAGGTGACGAGATGGAGATGGTCACAGCTGGGATCGGTCTTCTCTCAGTCACTGCTGTCCTCTGTCACCCTCCAGCCTCACGTCTCTTCACTTCGTGCGGACAGCTCTCTGACTTCACACTCCGGGATCTCCTAATAAGTAGCTCCCTGGGTCAGACTCCACCTCCCTCCGGGGGAAACGCGCTCAGCCAATCAGGAGCTCCTGCATCCAACGTCCGCCAACGAAAAGCCGGGGGATGAGTGAGTGACTAATAGTAGACAGGGGGTCAGGAAAGGGCTGGAGGGGAGCCAGGAACAGGGAGCACCTGCTGCAGGATGGAGGACGAAGGAAAAGAGAAAAAACAACACAAGACGAAGAGAAGAAAGAAAAACACTGGCAGAGCTGGAGATGTGTTCTCCTTTCCTGTCTGCAGGCTCACAGGAAGGGGGCTGCCAGTACAATAGGCGGGCATTAGGGTCTCGGGATGCCTCAAGGTGGGGGATCAATAATCTAATTCACAGCAACGGATACTAGTTCTACTCATCATGACTGCTAAAACCAGGACTGATACATTCATTGATGTTAATACATTTGTAGATTTAAGGTTGCTGATTGTATAAAGAAAAAACAACCTGTTGGTAATTTAAAGGGTTAGTTCAACTTAAAAAAAATAAAAAAATAAGGCTGTTCAGATACCAAGTACCGTACTCAATACTTGTAACTTTTTTTATATTTTATTTATTTAAAATATTTTTATTCTTTTTACTTTACTGTTGGGGGGCTTCAGGGAAATATCAGGTGTCTGTTTTAAAATAGAAAAAGAGATTGAGGACACAGTCCTCAATCTTTTTTCCTGTAACCCCTATTATAAATGAGCAGGAATCCTCTATACTGAGTGTTCCTGTTCATACATAACCTATAGTATGTTTACCATGTCCACCATCATGAATGAACATGAAGTGATAAAGAGCACTTCCCATTCATTCATAATTGGGGGCACAGTAAACATACTACTATGTCCTCAATTATTTACAAACACTCAGCGATTAGCTGATCTCTGACTGCTTGTACCGCTCTCCATCCTGACTCGCTGTCACAGGATGCAGAGCAGGCAATGTGGGGAGGAGAGCTTGGTTTATTTTGACAGCTGACTCCTCTCCCACACTGCTGACTCGGCCTCCTGTGGCAGCTGTCTCTGCCCCCACACCGCTCTCCATCCTGATTTGTCTTAGGAGGCCAAGCGGGCGGGAGGAGAGCTTGGCCTCCTGTGACAGCACTGACAGCTGTCTCCATCCCCCACACCGCTCTCCATCTTGATTTGAATGGGACAATGTGCCATAGGAGCCCGGCCTCCTGTGACACGCCAGCCGCTTATAGTGCTCATCTCATCGACACTGCTCTGCATCCTCTGACAGTTTCTCTCGCCCCTGCTGGGCGTTGCGCTGTGTCAGAGATGACAAATATGGTGTTGATGCTGATATAGACTCGCTTATGACAATATAGGGACCTAGGGCATGTCTGGGCAACTCCTGCCATCCAGCTGTAGTGGAACTACAAGTATCATGAGGTATTGCAAAACTGACAGTTACAGGCATAGTCCCAGAGGCAGAAACATGATGGGATTTGTAGTTAAAGCACAGCTGTAGGGCCGGAGTTGCTCACCTCTGTCCTAGAGTGGGTTGTGATTTTAAGCAATATCAATGTTGGGTCTATTGTGTGTTTTTCTTAATAAACTTGAGTATACTATTTTGAGGTATAATTTTGTATGTGGTACCTACACTTTGGGTCCAGAGATGTTAAAGTGGGAGCCGTATTTGTTTGTCACACATCATGGACTCTTAATGATGGGCACTGTATAATCCCCATTCCCATCTGGCTGCTAGACTGCCCCCTGCAGCCTCTTCTCCCACAGGCTCCGGCAGTCTAAGCACCTCTGACGTCATCATGTCTAATGCAAGTCCTTTAGATGTGAGGAAGCCGAGGGACATGCCATAGCTGGGAGGGAGAGAGGTGAGCGGTCACTGCCGCAGGATTGAGGCTCTGGAGAGTGTGTCTGCTTTAGTTTTACCCCTGACCAAAACAAGCACTTAACCCTTGCAGTGCGGGGGTAGCACAACTGCAAAGGTTAATTTTTCTAATACCTGGAGTTCTTCTTTAATAATATGCATTTATGTTCTGTTAATACCTGTAGGCCATTTGCACAATGAGTGAAGCTTGCCCCAAAAACAGACAGTTGTCAAAGTTCCCTCCTGTCTTCCTTCTGGATTGGACCAGCCATTAGGATGAGTGCACTCTGATGGCCATCCTCGCGATCCTTGCACATGCCGCCGATGAGCTCAGCATAGGAGAGAGTTCTGTCATTGGAATTGGCCATGGGATGATCCTTGCACATGCCGCCGATGAGCTCAGCATAGCAGAGAGTTCTGTCATTGGAATTGGCCATGGGATGGTGCCTGTGGACTGCACCGGGTATCTTTTTTTATAGGTGAACTAACCTTTTAATGTAGTCACATCTAACCCATCATGGATCCAGTCCCAAAGTGCCACATATGTGACGCATGGAATCACGCCTTTTTTTGATGTGCCAAATAACAGTTTAGTCTGAAGAGTTTAAAAAGAAAGATGCGACTAGTTTACGAATTGTAAAAAAAAAAACAAGTGCGATATTTTGCACAAAAAGTCTCCCAATCTGCGGCAAATACACAATGGTTCAGAAAATGAGTCCGTCAATATTTGGCACCGTAGAGGTGTGCAGTAGGTTGAAGGTTGACATTACTGAGCATTCCAGTTCCCTTGCTGTCTTGATGATCCAAGAGTTTAAAGGGGAACTCACATCTAATGCAAGTCAGTGGACCTGCATAAAACATGGTGACGTCAGCCGTCCTTGGACAAATCAGCTGCGAACACTCTATGGGTATGCTAACAGCAGTAAGCTCCGGGGGTCAGAATACAATATTCCTCCAACCACACTGTTTAGCCTGGATGGAGGAATTGAGTACTTTTTTCTCATTCGGCCCCGCAGAGCCGAACAAGAAAAGAATGACTAGTGTATGGCCAGCTTAAAGGGTTATTAAACCCTCACGTGTTTTTGCACGTGGAGGCAACCCACGATCTATAAACTTGATATATCTACTGCTAGCAAGCAATAGATATATGCAAAAACTTTAAAAAAAAAAAACTTTTCAAACAGGTTTAAACTTACCTGTGACTTCTCCACGCGAGTCTCGGGCGGCCGCAATGGATCTTGGGGCGGGGGCGCATGCGCAGATCAGATGTTCGGCCGGGAGATGAGCAGAGACACAAGGTAAGTCTATGGAGCAGCGTGCACCCGCACAGACTCCATGGGACATGAGAGAAGAGGAGGACAGAGGAATCAGCACTGGATCAGAGACCCGCACTGGTGCTGGAGGGACATCTGAAAAGGACCGTAAAGAAGAAGATAATCGAATAAAGAGGCATGATTTAAGGTAAATCCTGACACTAACATTGGGGGGGGGGTTGGGGAATAGCCTTTAATGTCACTTTAGCTCATTACATGTCTGTATCGATTACGAGGTTAACCTGAAAATGGATATAAATCACAGATTATACCAGATTATGTAGCAAGCAGGGTGCACACAGGTTTGTACAATGTTCCCACAGCAAATCTATCACCTTTGAGACAAGATTGCTGTATGTTAGAACATAGTGAAACAATATTACCAATACATGAATTCTACCAGTACTGGGCAGTGGAAAATACACAGCCTGGTATGTTTTATGTACATCTCTGTCTGCAAACATTGCTAAAATCTCTGTATGCTTTAAATTGGCTGTGCCCAGGGTGAATTTGGCATTGAGATTGATAGAAGTGGAGACATGAAAGAAACATTGTAAATTGCTGCATTGGCAGCAGGAAGGCTGGAAGGTTATTACCACGGACATGCAGCTGTGAGTCATTGTATTATTTCTCACCAGAGCTCTATCCACATGGAGTTTGTATATTCTCTTTGTGTAAATGTGCCCTGTAGATGCAAGTTACCAAATCTAACAAGGCTATTCACAAAAGGGTGAAGAGTTTGGAGAAGGCAGGAGAAGTGAACAATCTAGGACAACGTAGCTGAACTGGAAAGTGAGCTGAATTGGAGACATTTTGGCCTAGATTGTTCACTTCTCCTGCCTTCTCCAAACTCTTCACCCTTTTGCTAATAACTCTGCAAATGTCAGACAAATAGAAACAAAAAAGATGTACTGACATTCATTTTCCTGTCCAGTTCTGTAGTAATCATTTAGCTTGTTATTTTGCAGTCTCACATTGTTTGCAGCAAATTCTGAAAAATAGATTCCATATCACAGCATGCTTCCGAGTACATCATTCTGCCAAATACAGCGACATTGAAATGTCATATAAATGAAGAATGACCAGCTTCTGTTTTCACTCCTGGAAAGAAAAATAAGTGATTGTATTTCAGACAGATTTTCTAAACCTTCTTTAAAATAATGCAGTCATTAATTCTCTAGAAGAAACATCCGGAATACTTATTTTCTAGCTTTGTTTTGGATAGAGTCCATTGGTAAGATTTCCCTTTACTGCCTGTTCATGAGCCTTAACAGGAAATGAGAGGACATCCCTCCAAAGAGTAGGAGATCCCTAGTGGTGAGCAGGGTCACTGAGCATTGGAAGATTTCCTATATATTCCTGTTCAGATGACAACCCACAATTTTGGATTTCAGCTAAAACAGTCACCAGGACAAAATTAGATGATTTTTAATACTATGGATGGCATTGAAAATAGAATAATTAAAAAATGAAAGTCTTGTTAGTCCCAAAAAAGCCTCTCTCTTTTTCTCCTCTTCTTTTAAGCAGCATAATGGGTGTGCGTATTTATGGGGCTTAAGATGCCATATTTCTTTGCTTACAGGCTCCAGAAATATACACCTGGCCCTGTCAATCAGTCAGTTGAAAGTATCCATCGCATCTGTTGATAGCCATAGACATGAGCAGTGATGCCCATAAGTCAGCTGGGAGTATCTACGGGGATGGGCAACCTCGGCAC